AGTTGGTTCTCTGGGGGCAGCTGTACTGAGACACTGCTTCTTGATTTAGTATGATGTTTTATGTTGGTGCACAATGCCTGCCATCCTTTTGGAAGGGAATTTGCACTCAGTGGCTCTGATGAGAGCCTGACCTCCCACTGAAATCATGAGCTGATGGCCATCCCTATTTAACTGGTACTCCACTGATGACACTGTTAATCCAGTGACAGAACCATCAAGGTGTAATGCAATTATATAAACACTTCAGTCGTCATAGACTAAGAATGGATAAATACCAAAGAAGGTAAGATTTTAATAATGCAAACTACAAAAAAAAAAAAGCTATGAGATTTCTAAGGAGAACGGTGCATAAAAATGCTATTACTGTATCATGTGAAAAAGTGCAAAGATATTAAATTAGGCTATCATCCTATTTATTATTCTGAAAGCATGAAAACGTTCCATGTGCATCGCACAGACCAGGAAAGGCAAACCTCCACTTTTTAAACAGCTTATTTGCCTGAAATGCCAATTCTGCATCGGACAGCAAACTGTCACGCCCATCACCTCCTGCAGAACAAAACACTAAACACTTGTTCTTCCCTTTCTGGAAACATCTGTCTGCTGCACTGTCGGCTGCTGCACTGTCGGCTGCAGCCTGTGATAGACCCCACAGCTTTCTCCTAAGCATCCTCTACTCTGAAGAGCAGTCTGCTCAGGCAGGTGGTTGCTGTTCCTCATTGGACCTGACATGAGCACCTTCAGAGGCACCTGCCAGCCTCAACTCCTCCAGGATTCCTCTGAACGTGTGTTAAAGTGCCAAGCTGCCGAACGCACGCTTGCAGGAAGTAAATAAGGACGTTGACTTTCTTTAGAGTGACAGGGCAAAAGAAAACTTGGATGTGGCATTCTGTGTATTAGCAATTCTGTCACCAGTGTCTGGGCTAGGCTAGAATCCGGGCACCCCCCCCCCCAGAGCCTACTGACTACAGTATCAGGAAGCAAAAATGGGAAGAAGTGTAGACAAAAAAAGTAAGCCCACATGACTCTAAATGCAGGTACGAAAGAGTTTTTGTTTAGGAATGCCATTTCTTCTGATTTTAATCCAACTTCAGTAGCCAGTCACCGTTCATTTTGACTAAACATGGCAAAGCCAGTTATTACCTGCTGGTGGAGAATACATCCTGTGAAATCCCGTCTGGCATACGGAGCTACAGAACTGAGCCAGAACACGCTGGTACAACCTGTGGGTTATTTTGCAGGCACCTTGTTTTTCTTCCTTTTTTTTTTTCATTTGTTGGAATGCAGCAGATAAAAGAGAATTATGTATCTTTTCTACCTGTAACATAAATAATAGTGTAGGGTAAGCAAACAGAACAATATCCATGAAATCCCTAAGTGCTCTCATTCAGTGTTCTTCAATGTAAGGACCTTTGGTTTAGTTTCTGTGCATTGGCTGCATGGTGGATAAGGTATCTGAAGTGTGCAGCTGATGGAAAAAACTATGCCACTATCCTCTGCCTCTCACTGAAACCATGGGAATATATCCTAGTGTGCGGGTTCCCAGTGCTTGAGTTGTGCTGGACAGATTATCAACCATAGGTGAGAATAAGCTGTGTAGGTGTTGACAGCCTAATCTTTTCAAGAACTGCAAGTGTCCTGTAAGGTGTGGAGAACCTCAGCTCTCAACCAAAACTTTACAGCTCTTGGAGAGAAAACAGTCCACAGATAAGAGGACCTTTACACCAGCTTGTGTTTGAAAAGCGTGGCTGTGTGCAGCGTAATGCCACGCAGGACTTGAGGTGAACTGGCTGTGCTGCAGCTCTCACTGCTAAGCCCAACTCCAGCACTGGGCCAGCTGCAGCCCTGGGGGTCAGTACCAGGGGCCTGCAAGTCCTCCAGCAGCCTGCTCACAACAGAATTCTGACTGCTTAGCTAAAAACAAGCAGGTCCTGAAGCGTGATCAAGCTTCTGCTCCCCTAAGTCATTTAATTGAGCCTCAAGCAATCCTCAGTGCAGCAGTTTTAAATTCTGATATAGCTTTTGTGTAGAGACTCCACAAAGTCTTTGGTTCTTTCAAGAGGCACTTGCTTTCCTCTTTCTCATATGAACATGACACTGGTTTCCAGCTACCCGCTGTTGCTGCTAAGGAAACAAACCCTTGTTCATAAACTGCATTTTAACATGTTGGACAGCCTTGTCCTCCTCTCCAGTAAAGCACTGACATCCAAGCCAGATCCCAGCTTCACACTACTAATCAGGTCATAACGCTGACAAATTCAGCTGCTGATTTTTGGTGTCAAGCTCACAAGAAAAAAAATGGCGGCACCACCTCAGTGTCCTGCAACACTGTATTCATTCTAATGCACCAATCTCATATTCCTGTACAGTCCTGTAAAGGGACCTTTAAAGCTTGAATAAGAGACAGAATATACAGTACAGTTAAAAGGACTTCACAGAATTTAACCACACTTTTTGAGTGATTATTTGCATTATAATTAAAAGACTTTATTTGAAGTAAAGACTACTACTATTTTAAGGATTTGGCCAATTGGATTTTTTTATAAGCAATTTATTGAAATAGTTAATCTGAATTTTTTAAGCATATGTTAAACATGTTTGTTCAAATACATCAGCTGAGTCTTTTTTTCCATGAATACTCTCTTTACCTTGAGAACGCGAAGCCCAGCTTTTTCAAACTGTTTTTGTCTGTCTTTAAACTCCTGAAGGTGTGATTCCACCAGTGAAATCTGGAGATGTTTCGTATCATTTGTCTTCTGAAGTTGTCCTTCTGAAAGCCAACCTGCTTCTGGCTGGCCTGGATACAGATAAGGGAGTAAAATTTTCATATATTGTAATATCTGAAGCAAAGGTGAGGAGGAGGGATCCAATACTTCAGTTTGGAACTTTAGTTAAGAACAAAGAATTTAAATATTCTCCCAAGTAATGGCAGAGGCCAATATTGAGAGGGACTGATTAATTTAGTAGTTTTTCTACATTTATTAAAGAAACAGAGAGAGAGGGAACCAAAGAAAAGCTATTTATCTTCTCCGTTACATCTCTCCACATCCAACATTCATATAGTGGTATCTCTGCTGAATGACTGTACAAACACAAGGAAAAATGGATCACTCAGTAGTTTTTTGTAACGCAGCTTATTGTATCAGCTGTTAATGAGAGTCAAGGACTCTGCAGAACAAGTCCATTAGTGGGTCCTGCAACAGTGGTCCAGCTGTAGCTGGCAGAAGAGCTCACCAAAGGTATGTGTTCATTAAGTGCAAATTTTGTAAGTGTCCCATGGCCAGGCTTTAAAGTGAAGCTGTCCTGGAGGAAGCTCTGCACAAAGTGTGCCTGCGGGGAATGTTGCCAAGTGAGTAACCACAGCTAGCAGATGGTCTTGCAGGGGCTCCTATGCTCAGACTATGGTAACACCAGTAGTTAAAGCAATGTTCAGTGTGTGTGTGAACTGAATACACATCTGTCCACTCTCAGCCATACACAGATACATGTTCCTTCATACTTGACCTTGTTTAGGCACTTAGTTTACATAGTTATTTACTTAATTCACTTATTTACTTTACATACCTATTAAGTACAGCAGTTCCTCTTGCTTGGCTGCAGTCTTCTCCTGCATACGAAGCAGTAATTTTTCAGTTGCAAGCACTGCATCAATCACAGCATCAGGAGGGCCCCGAAATTCCAGTCGTGCTTTTCCATCTCTCACTTCTTCTGAAACACAGGTGCTGGAATGCTGCTCTCGAGAGAGTTCTGCAAACTCTTTCCTACCGAGGCTAAAAATGTAGTTGTTCTCAATAACAGCATGGTGACTCTTCTGAATTTGTACCATGCTCTGGATCCAGGATTCTGCTGCTTCCAGTGCAGTACGTATGGTCCCTTTAAGTTCAATTGCTGATTCATTATTCACAGGCTCTTTTACACTTTGATTGCCTGACTTGGTACCTGGAAGGAACATTTTTTTTTTTTTAATACAAGTGCATTGGAAGAGTGAAGCGCTCTCAAGGGCTGTCACAAATTCCTGTATGTTATCTAAATACACAGTGGAAGAAAAACACTACTCTACTGGTATGCTTAGAAAAAAAGAGTTTAGATACCAGGACGTAAGATTTCCAGGGAAAAAAAAAGAAAACCAAAAAAACCCAACAAGCAGACAAACAAAACCAAATCAAACCAAACCAAAGCAAAAAAAAAAAAAACACAAAACCCCCAAAAACCAAACCCCCAAACAAAACCCCTAGACATACAGAATTTATTTACCTTCCACTAAATAACTTCCAACAAATTAGGCACTGACAATGGGTTTTATGTTTGAAAATCTTACAAGAGACATTATCAGTTAATTCCTATTAATATAGAAATGCAAAGCACTCACAAGATTTTGCATCCCTCTTTCCCCAAGACATATGTATATACTACATTCTTTCTAAAGGAAATACAATTTCAGAGTCTCAAATCTGGAGTGCTCATTTATTTGAAATGCCCTTTCTGTTCATTACTTACTCAACTGATCACTTCTGTTGTAATATTCCTCTTTGCCCAGTTGTTGTGTTGCTGAATAAAGTGCTCTCTGGAAAATCTTGAAAGAGGAGTTTAGGAGCAGTTTGCAATCTGTGTTGTCAAGTACACAATCTCCTCAAAACTCTGCTAGATAAGCAGTTTACAGCTGTAGTTACACCAACCCCCCCGAATTCTGAAAATGTTAACAGCTAACATTTGTCAGCTTTTCCAAAATTCTGAAATTCCATTCCTGACAATATCCTGTTCTGTGCCTCCCAAGGTAAGACAGCTTATACACTGAATGGCACCTTCAGCAACACCTTGTGGTTAAATGGGAATTTAACTCCTGAAGGTAAATGGGAGCAAAAGCAAACTGTACTTTTATAACAGATGGCTATCTAAAATAGTTGTGTACTAATCCCATTGGCTAAATATCAAAAAGGTAGAAAATGGCACACTGCAGTTGAAATGATGTACTGTTTGCAACGCTTCCATCATCTTGGTCCCATTTACTTCAACCATCCATTTTCCGTGGGTTCCAGAACTAGGTGGAAGGAGATTGGAGCCAGATGATCTCTAAGGTCCTTCCTAACCCAAACCATTCTACGATTCTACAATCGGATCCGTGTTCTGTGTTGATAGTGTTTTGCCCTAGGAACTTCATACAAAAAAAAACCCCAAACAGTTAAAGACATTTCCTGAGGAGGACTAAGTTTATTTCCTAATAAGTTAAGAGTAGACTCCTTATAAATTTGTGCCCAGTCATAAAAATTTCAGAAGCTCCCTCTTCTTGTTATCAGATCACAGGGTGAAGACTTCTGGTTTAGTGAAGAGAAAATAAAGATTTGTAAAGATTAATAACTCTTGTTAATGAGACAAATACTTTCCTAAAGGGACCTGCCTCTAACAAATGTTGTAAATAGTATGGAATTCAGATTATTTTATTTTGTAGTCATTTATGGGATTCTTTTTACAGTTCAGGGTTTTTCTCATTGGTAGTTAACAACAAATTTGTTACCTGATAAGCATCAAAGTCATCTGGGCAAGAGACAACTTGCACATCTAGCTTCTTCTCAGGGCATGCCCTGGCGAAATTTAAAACCTCTTCAGTCATGATCTCTGCCTGTTGATAGTGCAGCAGTGATGAACAGAACGCATGTGCTGGAAAAGACAGTGAGGGATTTGGCAAGTTCTGACAGTATTGCAGGCATTTTGTCACTGCAGCTCTTAATTCCTGCAGAAAACAAACAAACAAACAAACAAACAAACAAGTGGTTTAGTCCTCACATCACTCAACATGAAAATCAATTAAAATCAAATCCAACAGACAGTTACCTCACACGGTAACACCCTGTAGTAGTTTTGCGGCTGTACAATGTGCAGTACAGACTCACAGGGCAGATTATAACCTTTTGTTACCACAAGATTCTTATAAGATGAAGAATATCTGAGATGAGACTTAAGTTCATCCTGAAGAGCTGAACCTGCTTTTTCCAGCAGTCTCTCTGAAACTGGAGAGTCAGGCTTGCCAGTCACAGACACGTAATTAACAATAGCTGTAGTCTGGAAGAAAAGAGTGCAAAGTTTCAGTATACTTCAAGTTCATTACTTGCAAGCTTTGATACTATAAGGAGCACTATTTCTAGGAAGAATTCCTTTTAAAAAGCCTGACTGCAGCAGATTAGCTGTTTGAAGGGTTCTCTTACTACTTACTAAGCTCATATTTTGCATCAGATTTTCTAGCTAAAAAGTTAAATGAATCCATTTTAATGATATGCTCTTTAAAGATACACGTCACCTGTGTAAGTGATATTCAGCTCTTTCAGCATTTGCTGAATAACTCCAGCAGTGGCATCTAAAAGAACATAAATTATAGGAAAAAAAAGCAAGACAAAAAATAAGAGTAGACTTCCAGGGAATGCATGATAAAATGCGAGTTCCCATGATGTGATAATAAGATAAACATTAACATAAGGATATATTAGTATTAGTCGTTCAATCTTTAGCTGCTTCCTACTACACCATAACAGCATGTATCCAAAAAAGAAATACAAATGTTCTAAAGTTTAATACCCCTTTAGGGAAAAAAAAAACCAAAACAAAACACAAAACAACCAACCAACTCCTTGCCGCTGTAATTTATTTACCACCTGTAAATTCCCCGCAGGGTGAGAATATAACCGTTTAGAGGGCTGATACAGTACATGTTCTGAGCTCCTGGGCTCCAAATCCTGCAAAGACTTGGAGGCAACTTCATGTTCAACACATGGGCCAGACTTACCTTCTGCTCTTCAAGGACTCCTTTTATGAGGCGCAAGCGAGTTTTTCCATGTTTGATGAAAGAGGGAAGCTGGCTTGGTGAAGGAGGAAGAGTTTCCTGACCTGAACTGCTATCACTCAGAAGCTCCTCACAGGCCTTCTTCATTGCTGCAACTGCATACTCAGAGATGTTCACCAGGCGGATCTCTCTGAGACAGCTTGGTGAACTTGCCTCAACAAATTCCTTTATAGCCATCACAATCACCTCAGCACACAAATCGAGTGGGAAGGCAAAAATACCTGAACTCACTGCTGGGATAGCCACAGACTTTATAGTATTTTCTGGGGCACTAACGTACTTCAGAACATTCATAATAGCTTCCTTAAGTTGTTTACAGCATCTTTGTCTTTCATAAACACTCCACCTTGGACCAACTGCATGAATAATTTTCTTACAAGGAAGCTTCCCTCCGCCTGTCACTGCTATTTTGCCAGCTGAGAGTTTTCCATGCTTTTTAATATGAAGATTGCTTTGCTCTTGTATTTCTGGCCCTCCAGCACTCAAGAGGGCTAAAGCAAGGCCTCCTACATGATCTAGGTATTCATTTGCTGCATTTACCAAAGCATCAGCCTCATGTCTTGTGAGATCATCCTTACAAACACAAATGTCAATTCCTGGCTTTAGTGTTTTCCTGTATACTTCAATAGTGCATTTTGCACTTTTGAAGATCAATGTACAAGCAAATTTTTTGTAAATAAGGTTACTTAGACAGTCCTCTCTTTTCTTAAGAACTTCATAGGCATCTTTATCGATGGGGATCATCAAGCTGTCTTCATTCATTACCATGCTTGGCCCTAGGATACAGAATAGTACAAAATGAAATCCAAGTTACTACAGTCAAAACATTGCTTTACCTCTAGAAGTGTTGTTTATAGCTCACAACTTTATCCTACTGTCATTACTTACCAATACTTTTTTGGCATAGTCCTCTCTCCCCTTTCCATAGGCTTAGAAAGCTCAACTAAGCAAAGAAAAGCACTAAAAGATGACAGCAAGAGTATCAGCTAAAAGATATCAGCGAGAGCCCGTGGGGACTTGAGGCTTTGGGTTTGCCTTACTGTTTACCTGAGGAGGAAGCCTGATTTAGAGGTGTCTCCTCCTGCAACTTGTTCTTTCCTACTGTTTATTCTCCCCACCGTTACGCTGACACAACCATTGTTTGGGACATATTCTTAAATGAATCAGTGACATAGTCTGAATTTTAAAAAAAAACAACCAAACAAACAAACAACTCAACACAGACCTATGAAACTTGGTTTGATTTTGGAGCACCAACTTCAAAGACTCATGCAGCAGCACAACTGAATGGGCTGAGCATAAACCGTGAGGAGGAGGAAAAAGGAGCAGACAAGCGTGTGGGGAACATCTTTGAAACAGATGCTGTTACAGGCCTTTGTCACCTGACTGCAGTGCCACCACGATGCTGTGCTGCATTTGCCACTAAAACTCCAGCTGGAAAAGCAAAGGTGAAAAGCCACACTGTAATCGGGGCTTCAAAACCCACAGCCACACCCGCAGAGGAACCCTCGCCCATACGCTCATTTAACTGTGCCACAGAGATCTTAAGCTGAGCTTTGCCAAGCCCACAAGCAAGTTCTTTCTTTGTACGGAACTTACCAATTCAGAAAGGCTTTTTAAACCACTTTTTTTTCTTTTTTTTTAGGCAGCCACAACAGTGAAGAGTGGGGTAGTTTTCACATTCTGACTGCGGCAGTAGAGCCCTCTCCTGGCAGATGTCGGCAGTACCACACGCAGCGGCATGTTAATTACCCTGCATCTATTGGCATGAGTTTAACCAAACTTTCCTCCGGGCTACGCTACCTACTTGTAAGACGAGTCTAACGTTTTGCACTTATATACACACCGATTCATCAAAACATTCTTCGATATAATACCGATTCTTCGGAGCTCTTAGTTTTAAAAGAGAAATGCAAGCAAATCTCGCTGAAGTAGTGAATAATAATGTCCATCCACAACCGCGTCTAACTCGTCCATTTCACGTAGCTTTCGGCTATTCCACACTGATGTTTTCCCGTCTGCTGGCTGCAGCTGCCAACTCTCAACTTAAATACAAGCGCACACTTTGCGGATGGCTAAATGAGAGGCTTACCCGAACCCTTCTTCTTCGACGTCCCTGGACTGTAACTCTATTGCAAAAAAGAAAGAAAGAAAACAAGAAAGGGACGCTGAGCTGCGCAGTTCCGTCGAAAGCGAGGCCGGCAGCGCCGCCTTTTCGAAACTCCGTGTGAAGTTTTCTAATATCTAAAATGCTTATTGAGAGCTGAGACTACGGCGACGGGCCCGCGGCGGGTAAGTTGCC